TTACATCACGATTGGGCCAGAAAAGTGATATGAGATGTGTGTGTGTGTGTGTGTGTGTGTGTGTGTGTGTGTGTTTGTTTGTGCATGTCCAAGCTGGACATGTAGGCCAGTATCTCAGTTATTTATATATAGACTGTTGCTTTGCACCAGGCCTGCGTTATGTCCAGTGTATTTTATGGAGTCTTTAGGAGTTTGGTCTTCTTTACTGTGTGACTCTAAATTATGTGATTGAAGTTGTTAATTTCATTGTTAATGATGATGGATCACGTCCACCTCATTAATGACAAAAACTGAAATGTAATGGGTCTTGCAACAGTGTCAAAAATATTTACATGTATTTTCTTAGCATAAATTGTGCCTAACAGTATAGTAAGTATCCAGCATGTTTGATGTCCCTCCATACACACACACACACAGAGTTCTACAGATCAGTTTCAGTTTCAACATGTCTTTTAAAAATAAGTAAGGTACTGCTAGTTTGTCTCATAGGACAAATCTTGTCCAGGCATGTCTGAGGTGTGGCCATTAATAAATGGTACTTTAAGTACAAGTTCATGGAAGCACGTAGGAAACAGATCCCTCCCATCCATCCATCCATAACACCTATCCTTCTTTAGGGTACCCAGGTCAATTAACTGTCCTATGTTAATTGAATTAGAGCAGAGATTTACCATTTAATAGAATAGAATAGAAACGGGCAATATTAAACTTTTGCTATTGCTGCACAGCCAACATTAACTAGTGTTTTTACCGTCAAGCAAAGGCAAGTTCAGCATGTTCAGAGTTGCAATTTTGGTTCACCATAAGCCATAGTGGTGGAGATCAACACCAGTGTTAACTGTTTCTTTGCCTCTATGTCTATCACCTCTTTCCTTCTAGTGCAAATTACATATAGAACCTTTAAATCAGGTACGAGATTAAAAAGATGTGGCAACGATTTAACAGAATTCAGAGTACCACATCTTTATCTCCTGTCCTTGCAGTATGTAGCTCACTATGCTGCTTTCAGACAATGGACTGAAGTCTCCATATTTTTCAGGAATTTTACGTAGGGGCTGTAAATGATCAAATGAGGACATTTTCCAGAGCTTTTCCTGCCAACCCTTTAGTAAAATGTCTGGAAAATGCCTGAGTGAGTCCATGTGAGGATACAGCAGGAAAATGTCACAGCCAGCGAGTGGGTGTGTGAACAACATTTCTCACATACAATGGATGCAAAACTGAAAAAGAAAAATCCAATAAGAATATAAATACATGAAAAAGAGGTGTCCTACAGGTAGAAGACGCTGACAAAAATGTCTTGTAAAGACAATGATGTTGTGTTGACACTAATGTTGATCTGCTGTCAACACAAACAGCAGAATTGATGTTAAAGGTACAGTGTGTAGAATTAAGTGATATCTAGTGTTGAAGTTACATGTTGCAGCTGAACACCCCTCACCTCACCCTCTCCTTCCAAACATGACAGAGAACCTGTGGTAGCTTCAATTGTCATAAAAACTCAAAAGGTGTTTAGTTTGTTCAGTCTGGACTAATGTAAAAAACATGGCAGCCTCCATAGAGAGGGTCCCCTCAATGTAAATATAAAGTATTTCAATATAAAGGACCTTTTCTGGGGTAAAGAAAACTACAATTCATACGATTTAGATGAAATGAACTGGTGAAAACATCATGAGGATTATTCTACATTAAATTTCTGACAATAGTTCCCTTTCACCTAAATCTTACACACTGGACCTTTAAGTCCCTCCCCCAGCAGACCTCGTCTGACTCTTCCTGTTGTTGTGAATGCATGTGACCCGGATAGTCTCCTGCTGCATTCTTCATGTGAAAGGCAAACTCCAGAAATTGTCCAAACCCAATCACCTGGAGTTCATGTCTGAAAACGGCTTAAGCTTCATCTGCGTCTTCCTAATACTTTTTCTGAGAATGCCAACTACGCTAACAAGCTTATTCTTAAACCATGACATTAAAACACTCAAAGTGGGTCATGAACACATTTACAGTTATCATAGTGAAAGCACCATCAGAGCACCTAGGCTGCTGTATGTGCCTGCGTTTGAATGTGTTTCACCATATTCCCACCACCAGGGTGTGTTAACTATACTGATCGTGCTGCTTCATTTTCCTGGTGAGGTCATCTATGGTGGGGCAGGTTTTCTGATGAGTCATCTAACTCTGACTCATTATTTCACATGACCTTACACTCAGTTTTGGTTACAAAAATAGCAAACAGCCTTAACCAAACTAAACAAAGTCAGACATAAAAGAATAGCTAGTTAATTCCCCAATCTCTAGGTCAATAATCTTCAAATCTATGTACTCATGTACAGTATTACAACAGATTTGAACTTCTAGAAGCAACTGTTCTTATATCAGTGCAATGATGTAGCCTGAGGACATTGGTGATCTCTTGGCTTTTATGTTTCTTGCAACATCCAACGTTTGAATTGAATCATCTCAACAGCTATTGAATGGACTTCCATTACATTTAGTTAGAAATGGATAAACTGCCAAATCAGGAGGGTGGCCGATCATGGATCACACCCATTCAAAACATCTGCATATTTGCACAGTCACCATGAGCATGTGTGAATGCATCAACTATTATGGCTGTACTTTTCTACTTTTAATTTTATAATCTAGAGGTCTCTACAGGTTTTTGGAATTTGAAATGTTGGATTCTGGGGCAGAGGTCAACACTGTCCCTGGTTCTGCCAGGGACTTTCTGTGTGGAGTTTGTATGTTGTCAACATGTCTCTGTGGGTTTTCCCCAGATACTACAGCTTCTTCCCACAGTCCAAACACATGCAGAGCATCACTGAATGTGAAAGTGAATGTCTCTGTATATTTGCGCTGTGATAGGGCGACCTGTCCAGGGTGTACCCCGCCTCTCTTACCCTGGGTCAGCTGGGATTGGCCCCAGCTCTTTACAACCCTCAAAGGATAAGCAGTGGACATAATAGATCGATGGATTCTACATTAAAATGCTATGTTTCAAATTTATTTTAACTGAGTATGTGAGATAACACAAAGCCCAAATTGCAATGGTTCAAACTTAATTGTCACTGACTACTGTTGCTGTTGCCAGTTTGGCTGCTGAGGATTACATTGTAGGTATGTCTGTGTCTGCTTAACACAAAGAGGTTCAAGCAGAATCAATCAGTTAATGGGACCTGTGTGCCTACTTAACACAGCGATTGAGGTGTTGAAAGAAAGTAGGCAGGATTTAAACATCTCTCTCAATCTCTCTTCTTTGATTCTTACCAAGCAAAATAAGGATAAAAAGGGTTTTTTTTCAACTCTCATGCCTCATTATTTCAAAGTCCCACCCTTTGCAACCTTTGAAGCGTGAGTGTGTTTCGAGTGTGTCAAGTGCAACAGCTAATGACAGTTTTGTGTGCAGAAGCGGTTGGACCACTTGCTGTATAGAACAGTTTGTTTCAAGCTGGAAACTATTTCATAATAGCAGAGACACCAAGTGTGAGTCTCACAGTTGTAAACCAGTCAAACTGTACACGAGGACGGTTATTGCTCCAGACCCCACAGAGTTATGGCATGGGTCAATGTCAACAGACGCAGCTGATCTGAACTGAACATAACAGCATGAACCACCCTTGTACCTGAGCTGAACTCTGAGGAAATCTCTGACCTGGTTAACATTCAATAATGATGTAACTATTTCTGCATGAAATCACATCTCATCTTGTGGGAACCAAAACAACTGTATAGTGGAATTCTAAAGCAAAACCCACAGTAGTTCTCCGGTTGTGTAACAACTCTTTTATGAGACACTCAAGAACCAGAGCTAGAGTTTGGAGTGGGAGATTTCTCATTTGGAATTTAGTGTGCTGCATTGCCAGCATATAATTCGTTTAGAACTTTCTAAACATCCCCTGTCCCCTGTGTGTCTAACCCTTTCTTTAGAGAATTGTAATTTGTTTAGCAGGACGTGTGGGAGTGTCTACAGTGGCTGGAGGGTGTAGCCAATCATGTTCCCATCCAGTGCAACCAATCTGAATCCAGAACTGGTTAAGAGCCTGGTCCAGTCCGGACAGGGATCACTTTTATTTGTTCATTAATCTTGTAGCTATATCCAATTTGTTGTGACTAGAAGTAACAACTATCTGGGGACTTGGCCAGGTCGAGTTGACACATAGACTGATCTGCACATTACACTCACAGAGAATCAGTAGGGGTGCTGTTTTCTTTGTTTTTCAGTTTGTAGAAATAGAGGAGTCAGATAGGTGTTGCTGTCTCTTTCTATTTTACCCTAGATTCATACTGTAATTGATAACTGTTTTTACTCAAGTCCTCATATGGTTATATTTATTTATTTCATTCCAACAGCATCGTATATTCCCATTTCCCCTTTTAGTTCACCTTTGCTTGTTTGTTTCCACAATTTTATCTGACTAAAATAAATAAGTGTTAATGTAAATGTAGAGAAAACCCAGTTCTATGGTGCTTCCCTTTCCCCAACAATGAGCCGAGTTATAACACAGAATAAAAATCCTTTAAGATCAATGTTTTCTGGTTATAAAATGTACAATTCCTAAATAATAAAGTGGGATTTGTGTAAGCACTGATATAAAAATCCTGCTCAATACAGTAGTAACTGTCCCAGTCTTGTCTACAAGACTTGATAAAAGATCTTTAATCGTGCATCTCTGATGTTATTCAAGAACATTCTAAACACTAAATGTTTTAAACAACCCTGTGAGAGCTGTACCTCTTTATCTTCTGCCTCCATTTCTTCCTGCAAGGTACCAAGTCCAGGTCTGGGCTCCACAGTCAGACCACTCAGGTCTCTCTCCACCCGAGCAGGAGCTCTCTCCAGCAGGGAGGTTTGAACTGGACATTCAATGGGTAGAGGATCTGGCTCCCTCTGGACCAGCCATGTCTCCAGCTCAGCATGAGGAATCTGTGGAGAAAGTTAAGACACAACTATGGCACTTGTTTCTTGTTTCCCGCTTATGAACTACAGGACCTGCTGGTAGTCCAACCAAAAACTGCTTATTACTTTCATCGGACCTGTAATAGCTCGCATTCAGACATTTAGTGACATTTCAAAATGTGGAGCTTGAACAGTTGTTTAATAGTAGAGCACAGTTTTAATCAAATCTTTCAATAATGAGTTAGAGAATAACAATAAAAGATCCCTTGAACTAGCTTGTGTTTAATTTAATGTCTGAAACTGAAAAAAGAAATATCTTGATATCTCTGTTCAAAATAAATCTTACTTATCTTAATTTATGTAAAGTTGTGCTTCAAAGGGAGCTTTAAACAAATCAAAACAAGTGAATGAATGAGCTTCAGATGTGTTAGTGGACAGATAGTGCTAATCTAACATTGATATTATGTGGACGAATATAAGAACTTATCATTCTAACTGCATCTCAATGGGAGTGTTGAGCTAAAGGTAGAAGCTGACAGGTTTCCTACCTCTAGTCTATCAAGAGAGCGGACCCAGCCCAGTAGCCTTCTTGTTGTGAAAAATCCGTCCAGGTCTACATTCTTGGGGTGCAAGCCCTGGCCATCCTCCAGGCGGTTGCGGAGGTTGTGGAACTGTGTCTGGGTCAGTGCCGCGGTCTGACCCATGATCATCTCTTGCAAGGAGGGAGGCAGGTAGGGCTCCAGTCCCACGTCGACCCTCACTCCGCAGAGACTCAGCAGGATGGCCACCTGGATGAGGCCCTCTGTGAAGTATTTCTTTAGGTACAGCATGTTCTTTGCTGTCTCCGAAGAGAAACAAAGGAGTAATCGGGTGGGACCCTATAACCGAGAGGGTCTAATCACCACCAGTCAGTTTGTAGTGTTCTTGGGAAAGTTGTAGAAAGTCTGTAGCAGCTCTGTCGGGCCTTGCTCTGTAAGACAATCTCTCTGTGGAGGGTGAGGGACTGGAAAAAAATCTCAAATCCCCATTCACACAGGACCTAATGCATCTAGAAAATCTCTTCAGTATTACTTTAATTTAAATTAGAGTAAAACTTATCTAAAATTGAACCTGATCAAAAACAGAGCCTTGCTGTTGAAGATTCTTCTTCTCACAAGCTCATCCAAAAGATGTTGGTCTTCACGGAGACTCCACTCTTCCTGTGAACAAACACAAACACAGTACATCCATTTACTTCAGAGCAGAGGACGAGTGCAATTCTGAGCGTTAACTTGCTTTGATGTTTTAGCTTTGCTCTCAATCTGATGATCGTTTGCTCAACCAATCAATAATTCTTTAAGATGTTCAGTTAGCTTTGATTTTCAATCAACTGTTTCAGCTCTACATTCCTCTAACACTGATTTTGACCACTGCATATTTGCCATCATTTGTATCTATCGGAGCTGCTATGTGTAGTGGTGGAAAAGTGAGTACGTTTAACTGGTAGATTTATGCAAGTAATCAGGTCCATTCTTTTCTTTTTACTTGTACTTTAACATTAAGTACTTTGTATGGTATTTTTATGTTTTGCTCCTGCTATTACCTCAACAATTGCTCCTACGGCTATTAGACAACTAGTTCACTACAATTACTACTGCATTCTTCTGAGCTGCTGTTCTGCCATACACTTATCATGACACTGCCACCACTGTGCTATTGATAATATCTCCATTCCAGTCACCAGGTCCAGTCTTCTGTTGTCTGTGACCTGCAGAGAGGCAGCAGTTCTACAGTGGGTTTGACAGTTAGTGTGTGAAGATAAGGGAGACAGACATAAAGACAGGGCAGAGCCGAGCAGAGCAGGTTTACAGCACCACCCTCAAAATCTTCCATCTACTTCTAGAAAGGGTTTGGTAACCACCTGCCTGCCGCGCACTGCCTGGGTTACTCACTGCTGCCACATGATGTAATTCCTAGTGTTTCCCTGTCTCCTCCCTCACAACAGTCACTGGGTTTACTTCTCATGCTCTGATATTCTGTTCACAAAGTCTTCGGCAACGCTTCAATACCCAGCTTTACAGAATCTATGCTCATAATTGTACCGTGTCATCTCATACACTGTGTAGTCAAATATTACATCATACTTTGTTGTACTGAGGAGATCATGGGGCCAGTATTCCATGGTTACATGGTCAACAATAAGGAGAGGTGGAGACTAGAAGCCTAGCAGTTCTTAGAGACTCATAGTTGTTTTTATGTCCGCCTTGTTGTTTCATGCTGTGTGTGGTGTGTCGGTTCTCAAACAATGAGGGTGTAATATCCTGCTCTCCTCTCTGTTACGCTTCACAGGTAAAATAAAGGCGATCAAAAGTGAAATATCAACAGTAGCCTACACATTGTAGTGGAAAAGTAACGTTTTATTTGAATTATTATATTAGAATTAATGAATAACAAAAGTATTGTTTTCAACAATAATCTGTATAAAAAGTTCAAATGTATCAAGTACTTGAAATGTACACATGGGAGACATACATTAAAACCCTGTACATAACACTAGCATGCCTCTGTTGTCGTTATTGTTCCAATTGTTTTCCTCCTGCGTGTTTGACAGGAAATCTACATGAGCCGGACCAACAAGTGTCAGTGTTGCCACCAGTCTGACAGTGAAGTGTGGCAAACAATGACAGCGACACAAACATCACACACTCACACACAAACACACAAACATCACACACTCACACACAAACACACAACAACAACGTGAACTCACAGGAAAACAAAGGGATCCGCTGGCGAGCAGGTAAGAAGAGTGAGGAGATAAAAGCAGCTGCTGTTAGAGACACCAGAGAGAGGACATGAAGGAAGAGTCTCACCTGTGTCTCTGCTCCGGTGTCCCTGCTCCTGTGTCTCTGCTTCTGTGTCCCTGCTCCTGTGTCCCTGCTCCCGTGTCTCTGCTCCGGTGTCCCTGCTCCGGTGTCTCTGCTCCTGTGTGTCTGTCTCTGCTCCGGTGTCTCTGCTCCTGTGTGTCTGTCTCTGCTCCGGTGTCTCTGCTCCTGTGTG